TTTTTTTAAGTGTCAACTAGATGGTCCTTAGTTGTAGGGGCCATAATTTTTTCACTGAATTTTTCACAGCCTTTGACTGACATTTTGGCCAACTTTAATTTTTTGTTTGATGTTTTTTTTTGTTTATTTTGTCATCAAGTTGAAATTTTTTCATTTTTCCTACTGATTTGTCACGTCGATCAGATTTTGCATTTTTTTTTACTGAATTGGCTATAAATTCGCTTCTCAAAACCATTGAGCAACCAATTCATTCTAATCTCATATTCCCAGTCACTATAATTTTAGGTCCAATTTTTTTCTTCAACAATTAGTGTATTTCAGTGAGATATTTACTTGCATTGGATTTATCGTGGTGTATTATCTATTTTAAAAGTGAGTACAATAATTTTTTTTGTCATATTCGTAATGAAATGTGATTTTGTACGCATTTAATTTTTTTTTCATGTTGTAGGAATGGAAGGAGATGATAATGTATTCGTACCACAAGTTCACGTAGGTGCGATTCCACAAATTGGGCAAGAGTTTGAAACATTAGACGATGTATACAACTTTTACAATGAGTATGCAAAATTAGCTGGGTTCAGTGCACGCATCGGTAGTAGTCGAAAGAACGCACAAACGAACGAAGTTGTCTGGAAATCATATGTTTGTTTCAAACAAGGCCAGAAAGATGAAACCTACCAAATGAAATTTAAAAATTTGGTGGCCCGTTCAGGAGAAAGAAATCGTGGTGACTCCCGATGTGGCTGCACCGCCAAGTTAACAGTTGTAAAAAAACAGACACTAAATTCTTGGGTTGTCAGCCATTTTTCCGAAGCACATAATCACTCACTATCCACACCGAGCAAGGTTCACCTGCTACGATCGCATCGTGAAGTTTCAGTTACGAAAAAAGCGCTTGCAGAGCAATTTTCACTGGCAAATATTCCTACTTGCCAACAAATCAGACTTATGGAGATAGATGCTGGTGGTCCATCTTCGATTGGTTGCTCTGAGCAGGATATTAGGAACCACCAAAGAGACCTTCGAAGGGAATACATTGGACATGATGCAGAAACATTGATAGAATACTTCGAGCTGGAGAAAAGAAAGAACCCGAGCTTCTACTATGCATACGAGACTGATGAGGATGGAGTGTTTGCTCGCTGTTTTTGGGCTGATTCCGATTCCAGGAGCTCATATGTCTACTTCGGAGACGCTATCGTGTTTGACACGACCTACAATACCAACAAGTACTCGATGGTGTTCGCACCATTTATTGGTGTCAACCATCATCGTCAAACTATTGTATTTGGATGTGGCTTACTGAGCGATGAGAAAACTGATTCTTTCATATGGTTGTTCTCAAAGTTTCTAGAAGCCATGCCAACACAACGGCGTCCTGGCGTGATTATCACTGATCAAGATGGTGCCATTTCGAGAGCGGTTGGCCAGGTATTCCCCGACGCACTGCATAGATTATGTTTATGGCACATATTGAATAAATTCCCAGAGAAGATGGGTCCCGTACTTTATAAGGAAATGTACCATAATCTGGTAAACATCATTATGGAGTCTGAGAGTCCTTACGAGTTCGAAAGCCGCTGGTCTGAAGTGATGGAGACCACTCGCCTAGGGGATAACGAGTGGTTGTGCAATATGTATGAAATACGAACCCGTTGGATACCAGCATATGTGAGACACATCTTTTCTGCAGGGATGTCTAGCAGTCAGCGATCAGAAAGCAACCATGCATTCTTCAAAAGATACGTGGACAAGAAAAATACGTTGATGGATTTCATCACGAGATTTTCCAATGCCCTGGCACACCAACGACATGGGGAATTGGCTGCAAATCACACTGACTTGAACGAGCAGCCTCGGACGACAACGTCATTTGCAATGGAAGTTCAGATGGCCAGCATCTATACAAAGACAATTTTCCTACGCTTTCAGACAGAGCTTGCACAGAGTACTTATTATCTTTGTTCGAAGACATCAACATACGAGGGTCTCAAAACATATTCTGTCATGCGTTTTGAGAATGGAAAAACGTATGATCGACAACGTGAGGTTCTCCA